AGGGTGTGGACGAAATGGTTGAGGCCAAACCATGCACCCTTTCAAAACAATGCACCACCTTTATGAAAAGGTGTCTATTCACTGATTTTCGTCCTTTTTCGTAATTTCTCATTCATCCGATATTAGTTTTCGAAATGCCAAATATACCCTTCAATACATGCAGAGAAATCAAAATTCTCTTTCGGGGGCGTTGCCCCCGACCCCCCACGAGGGGCGCTGCCCCCTTGACCCTCGCGACCTGACCGGGCAGGTCGATCCCCGTTTGTGCGCCCCGAAGCGGCGAAGTGGCAAACAATTTTGCTTAAACGGATTGAGTCGAGCTTTTGAGTATTTGGTCGAAGTCGATACGAAGTCACTTTAATCGATTTTCAATTCTCGATTTATTTAACCAATATCCAACATTAGTTTTATCGTCATGGCGCCTAGTCGCGTACAAGCATGATTGTATGAATCTTGTATAAATATAGCATTAGTCATGTCTATTCTGCATGTTGTTATCAAAATTTCCTCTCTCCTCACTGAATTTAAAAAAAAAAAATTGATTTTATTTTTTTATTTTAATATCATTATATTCGTGTTTAAATTTTCCCCCCCATAGTTTTATTAGACGTTTCTTGTCATAGCTCCACCACTAATTACAATGACACCAAACAAGCATAATAAATCTCAATTATTATTACAATCATGTTTGGGATACATTGTGGTGTCCAACATGGACACTCGGCACCTTGGCATTGGTTGAGGTGCTTGCCACGCCCAGGCCCACTGGCACCTCGATACGGGTGTCCATTTTGGACACTACAATGTACCAAGAGCATTATCCTTATTATTAAGTGTCAAATAACAATTCATAGTTCAGTTAATCTACATCTAATAAGGAACATACGTTCATGGTTTGAGCCTTTTAATATATTAACGAGCGAGAGTATGATGTGGTATATAACTCTATACGCAAGCATATAAATATTAATATTATGAACATGTTCACGTGGGAAATCAATAAATTCTCTTGGAAGAGTATTGGGATAAATTTAATCAGTTAGTGTTGTCAAAATTATTCCGCTGAGCAAAGTGAAATGTTGTTTTTAAATAAAGAAATAGGCGGTGGATGGGGGCAGCTACTATGGAATTTTGAAACCCAATGACTGCGAGAAAAAGGGGCCTTTTTCGTACTAGCATCAAGTAGAAGACCTTCAAGGATTAATTGTTTTTCAATGACTAAGGGTAAGGGGCCCCTTCCCCTTCTTCCTATTCAAATTCATCCAAGTTCTGAAGAACTTCTTGTGCTTTTACTCTCAAGAATTGTTCTATAATATATGGTGGTCTATTTTTTGTGCCATAGGATCCCCTTTCGATCTTGAGAGGCTTGGAATATATATATAAGAGTCTAAAAGGACCTAAAAACATGTCCAAGACACTCTAATTCGTACAAACTTAACCTTCCGAAACAAATCGGGAAGTCGCCTATTACAATGGGCCTATGCATGAAGGATTGGCTCCTAAGTGCAACAACTTATGTGCCAAAATACCCTCCGTCTTATGCACAAAGGATTGCGTATAATTCACATAGAAACCATTTTTGAGTTCTGCTCTTGTTCTGGAGCGGCTTTCTATAATTCACATACAATTTTTGGTTAAATTTTCTAGAAGGGCAAAAAAGTTTAAAAGTGACATTTTTGTGAAAATTATTAAAAGGTGATATTTTTGTAAATGGCAATTGAAAAAGTGACGAGTTTGGTTTTGGTTCTAGACCAAGAATCAAAGAATTGAATCTCTTTAATTTTTTTATTTATTAAATTAGTCAAATTATTTTAATATTTTTTTAAATAAATTTTCTAACCAATTAATAGAGCCCAAAAATATTATTTTCCTATTTCATTTGTCATCTAATTAATTTAGCCCAAACCCAAAATATGATTGTTTTATATTTGAAGCCGAATCAAATCAATGAGATGAAATCACGATATTTTATTATTTACTTTTTGGTAATTTGTATGAGTTGGTGAATGAATCTTATTAGACAACTTGTTACTCCTTTCGTCCTAATTATATAGGCTGGATTTCCTTTTTCTCTTATCCCAAATATATATGCTTGTTTCTTAATTTAGAATATTTTGTTTTGTTCCTTTACCAATATACCCTTATTCATTTTTCCTCACTTATTATGCAAACTTTTTGAAATCATCCAAATACACACCTTTTCCACTTTTTGAAAACATGGAAAAATCTCATTTCTTCTTTTTCAAATTAAATCATTCAAATTCTTTACTAATTCCAATAATAATTTACTACTACATATTGAAAATTAAATAAGGGTAAATTAGAAAAGATTTTGACAAAAAATAATTTTCCAATGACATTAAAGAAAATTTCTTAATCTGTGTAAAAAACTAAAAAAATCTATATAATTGAGACAGAGTGAGTATTTGTATACTATAAATTGCATCACATTAATTTGTAAGAGTTAAGATTGAACATGTTATTAGTTGAATTAATATAATATTATTGTAAATATTAAAAAAATTAATTATCGTACATAACTCGAGAATCGAATAGAATTGAAGCCATAATTAAATTTGAACTCGATGATTCTACTTATTAAATATTTGAAAATTCGAGTTGGATTCAATTCTCTTTAAAATCTAACACGTCCATCCCTAACTTTAATAAACCTTTGTGGAGTGTTTATTGTATGGACCGAGCTTTTACCGACCCTACACATATTTGGGAGGGGGGGAGGGAGGAGACCCACCCCTCTCACATCTGTCTCTGAACCCCTTTTTTTCCTAATTGTATTGAGAGTATAATTCCTATTGAACCCTATGTATAGGGTTATATTAATGAAAGGGGATTTTGTTTAAGAAGCCTAGTCAACTATAATCTTTGGTAAAATAGCCTATATCAATAATTTTTGTTTAAGTAGTCTAAAGTCTATTTGATTATATATTAAAAGTCTTAAATACCCTTAAGTTGAAATGACTAAAATATCCAATTTGAAAATGAATATTACCCAAATCCCCAAATATAAATCCCTAAATCCCCTTCATTTCTCTCGTTTCCAAGTCCATTCTCACCATATTAAACTCTCCTTAAAATTCAGTCGTATTCTTCTTCATATGCATTATTCTTGCTTACAATGAATGATTGCATGTTGAAGTTCCCTTTCTTGAACCAAGAACAAATGAAATAGTGCAAATTTTGGAGGTGGGTTAGCAAGAATCGATTTCACACAGTTGAAGGTGAGCTTTATAAATTGAAAATTATAGATTTGTTTTTATTTTCTAGTTGTATGCTATGAGAAAAATCAATTGGATAATTAAAATTTGCTGTAAAATATTGAAACGGAATGGTGCCGTTTCTCAGTAGTTGTGTGCCCTTTTTTCCCAGCTGGCTGCCGTTTTAATAAGACAATGGAGGTATTGATATACTTGTTGGCAAATTAGTTGTTTCCCCATTCTTTTATAGCATTTTATTATCATAAATAAATTTAAACGGCACATACATTTACGAAATGCCGTTTTGTTCTGCTGAAATGTGTTATGTAACAATATGAGTAGCCTTTTGTTTGTTATTGAAGTTGTGATTCATAGTACTCAGTTTTGGCAATTAATGGAGTAATATATTATATTTTTTTTTTGTTGAATTGCAGATATGGGCTCTGGTGCAATGATTGTTATTTGTTATTTTGTTAAATTTGAAAAGAGTGGTGAAGATGAATGGAGTTGGAAATGGATAGGGAATGATGAAAACACCGCAACAAATATTTTTTTATCAAAAACAATCTCATATGTAGAGTTGTATAACAAAGTCCGAAAAGCAGTTAAGGTTGATCCCAATGTGTATGACATCGAGATGAAATTTCTCGTTCCCGGCATGACAAAATTATCAATTCCGCCAATGAAGATTACTTGCGATATGGATGTTAATTGGTTTCTTTCTTTGCATGACAAAGTTCCAATTTGTGTAACCCTTGTAGAAAAGGGTTATGTTGATCAAGAAGACATGAATGTTGATATTGTAGATGTTCAAGAGAATCATGAATGTATTTCAAATGTTGTTGCAACTAACAATGCGGTAGAGATGGATGAATTGTATATGCAAAATGATCAGTCCGATGACAATTATATGTGATCGTTATCTCCATGTAATCAAAATTGTGAAAACGATTGTGTGAACTTTACAAGTGATGATTATTGGGATGGGGAAGAAGTAGTGCATGGAAACGACATAGATGATTCTCATGTGATACATGAAGACAATGTTACTCATGATACACCTTTTACATTGGTAGATGAGATCATTGGCAGTTCCCAAGTTGTTGCCTATCTGAATCCTTGTGGAACATCAGTTAAGATTCTTGACGTCGATGATGTGCACGTTAGCCAAATTTTTCGCAACAAGAAGGATTTTCAGGCATCACTACAAATGCTTGCTGTAAGAAACTCTTTCGAATTTAAGGTCACTAAGTCAAATAAGAGTACATATGTAGTAGTATGTGTTGAGAAAATTTGCAAATGGCGTTTGCGGGCAACACGATTGAAGGAAAGTGACGAATTTGAAATTCGAAAGTATTCACGTTATCATAATTGTTCATTGGATGTTCACCACAAAGATCATAGACAAGCTAGTTGTTGGATGATAGGAAAACATATCATGTCGAAGTTTGAGGATCCTAACATTATATATAGACCTTCGAACATTCAAAATGATATTCGTCGGGAGTTTGGCATAGATATAAATTATTATAAGGCATGGATGGCTAGAGAATGTGCTATAGAGCTATTAAGAGGCTCACCTAATCTTAGTTATGATAGATTGGCCAAGTATTGCAATATTCTGAAGAAGAATAATCCCGGTACAATGACGTTCATTGAGGTTGATAATGAGAATCGATTCAAATACTTTTTTATGGCTTTAGGACCAAGCATACGTGGTTTTCACTCATCAATGAGACATGTCATTTCTGTGGATGGAACATTATGAAATCAAAATTTCGAGGTATGTTACTTGTTGCCACGTGTCAAGATGCAAATCTTCAGATATATCCTCTTGCATTTGGCATTGTTGATTCTGAAAATGATGCATCATGGACTTGGTTCTTCGATAAGTTGTTTCATGTAACGGGTATGTTGGAAGGGCTTGTTTTCATTTCTGATCGCAAGGAGAGCATTGGTAACGCTATAAAGATTGTTTATCCTTATGCACATCATGGATGTTGCATGTGGCATCTACAACTAAATATAAAGTCAAATTATCATAAGATCGATATTCTGCCATTGTTTATGGCAACTGCGAAGGAGTATAGTTTGATTAATTTTGAAAAATCAATGGCAAATTTATATCGTAAGAGTCCGGCAGTTGGACAATACCTAGAAAAGAAAGTTGGGTATGAATTTTGGTCCCGAGCACATTTCAAAGGAATCCGTTACAATATTATGACAACTAACAATGCAGAATCTTTGAACTCGTTATTCAAGAATGCTCGGGAGTTTCCAGTACTTGCTATGGTTGAACAAATAAGAAAAACTTTACAGAAATGGTTTCATGAGAGACACATTGAGGCGGAAGAATGTGCAAGTACTCTAACCCCGCCCATTGAGGATAAAATGCGTAAAAAGTATAATGATGCAAAGGGACTAATAGTGGTACCAATAAATGAGTATGAGCTGCACGTCAGTGTTGAGAATGAAATGTATACCGTGAACTTGGAGGCAAGAACCTGTAGTTATAGGGAATTTGATTTGGAAAAGCTTCCTTGCAAACATGCACTTGCAGCAGCGAAATTTAAGGGAATATCTTGTAACAATTTGTGCTCACCTTATTATACCAGTGCTAGTTGGAAACAAGCATATGCTGAATGTATATATCCAGTGGCAAATGAGGCTGACTGGGAAATCTCCAATCAACCAAAGGTGTTACCACCCCTTTTGAATCGAGGACAAAGTGGACGTCCAAAAAACCGTCGAATTCCATCAAGAGGAGAGGGAAAAAGGACTCGTAAATGTAGTAGGTGTGGCCAGAGGGGCCATAATCGTCTGACTTGCAAAAATGCTCTACACTAGTTGACAGATGCATAGAACATTTTTTGTTTAACATAATCTTGAAATTATAATAGATTAAGATAATTTTTGATATATTGTGATAGTTGTCTGACAAAGTATGATAGCTACTTCAAACAGATTTTTGATAAATATGACAACATCACAAATTTGTTCAAACCAAAACGGTATCAGGTCGTTTTAAATGTATGGGTGTTATGTCTACTCATTTCGTGTTCATTTTTGTTCATTCACGTTTGTTATGGACGGATGGATGTTAATCATTTATTTAATCTTTACATTGTGATATATTTTGATCAATTATAATAGATTTGTAAGTCAGATTCTGATAAAAATGACATCAGCACTGTTTGTTTAGCCAAAACGACAGCCGGGCGTTTCAAACTTATGGGCGACGTTTCTACTCATTTCGTGTCCATTTGGTGCGATGACGCTCGTAAGCACTTGAAAATTGAAGGACGAAGGTTCGAATTACATTTTGCCTTTACGATCGATGCATTTGTCCGAACTATAGTGAGTTTCTCTATAGTTTCACCGACTACACTACACTCCGCTTGACAATGAAGAACAACCCAAGGGGAAAGTGTGGTATGAAAATCATAGCACGTGGAGTCGTTCAACGTGTCCCAGATGTATATCATGTCCCAAACATTGTTGCGCTACTTTCGAAGTGAAACCGGTACCTCCGGACCCATAACGACAGCTGGGCGTTTCAAACTTATGGGCGACGTTTCTACTCATTTCGTGTCCATTTGGTGCAATGAAACTCGTAAGCACTTGAAAATTGAACGACGAAGGTTCGAATTACATTTCGTCGTTACGATCGACGCATTTGTCCGAACTATAGTGAGTTTCTCTATAGTCCCACCGACTATACTACACTACACTCCACTCCACTTGACAATGAAGAACGACCTAAGGGGAAAGTGTGATATGCAAATCGTAGCACGTGTAGACGTTTAACGTGTCCCGAACGTGTATCATGTCCCAAACATCGTTGCGTTACTTTCGGAGTGAAATCGGTACCTCCGGACCCAAAACGGCAGCTGGACGTTTCAAACGTATGGGCGACGTTTCTACTCATTTCGTATCCATTTGGTGCAATGAAGCTCGTAAGCACTTGAAAATTGAACGACGAACGTTCGAATTACATTTCGTCGTTACGATCGACGCATTTGTCCGAACTATAGTGAGCTTCTCTATAGTCCCACCGACTACACTACGCTTGACAATGAAGAACGACCTAAGGAAAAAGTGTGATATGCAAATCGTAGCACGTGTAGACGTTCAACGTGTCCCGAAGGTGTATCATGTCCCAAACATCGTTGCGCTACTTTCGGAGTGAAATCGGTACCTCCGGACCCAAAACGGCAGCTGGGCGTTTCAAACGTATGGGCGACGTTTCTACTCATTTCGTGTCCATTTGGTGCAATAAAGCTCGTAAGCACTTGAAAATTGAACGACGAAGGTTCGAATTACATATCGTCGTTACGATCGACGCATTTGTCCGAACTATAGTGAGTTTCTCTATAATCCCACCGACTACACTATACTACACTCCGCTTGACAATGAAGAACGACCTAAGGGGAAAGTGTGGTAAGCAAATCATAGCACATGTAGACGTTCAACGTGTCCCGAACGTGTATCATATCCTAAACATCGTTCCGCTACTTTCGGAGTGAAACCGGTACCTCTGGACCCAAAACGGCAGCTGGGCGTTTCAAACGTATGGGCGACGTTTCTACTCATTTCGTGTCCATTTGGTGCAATGAAGCTCGTAAGCACTTGAAAATTGAACGACGAAGGTTCGAATTACATTTCGTCGTTACGATCGACGTATTTGTCCGAACTATAATGAGTTTCTCTATAGTCCCACCGACTACACTATACTACACTCCGCTTGACAATGAAGAACGACCTAAGGGGAAAGTGTGGTAAGCAAATCATAGCACATGTAGACGTTCAACGTGTCCTGGACGTGTATCATGTCCTAAACATCGTTCCGCTACTTTCGGAGTGAAATCGGTACCTCTGGACCCAAAACGACAGCTGGGCGTTTCAAACGTATGGGCGACGTTTCTACTCATTTCGTGTCCATTTGGTGCAATGAAACTCGTAAGCACTTGAAAATTGAAGGACGAAGGTTCGAATTACATTTCGTCGTTACGATCGACGCATTTGTCCGAACTATAGTGAGTTTCTCTATTGTCCCACCGACTATACTACACTACACTCCGCTTGACAATGAAGAACGACCTAAGGGGAAAGTGTGATATGCAAATCGTAGCACGTGTAGACGTTCAACGTGTCCCAAATGTGTATCATGTCCCAAACATCGTTGCGCTACTTTCGGAGTGAAATCGGTACCTCCGGACCCAAAACGGCAGCTGGGCGTTTCAAATGTATGGGCGACGTTTCTACTCATTTCGTATCCATTTGGTGCAATGAAACTCGTAAGCACTTAAAAATTGAACGACGAACGTTCGAATTACATTTCGTCGTTACGATCGACGCATTTGTCCGAACTATAGTGAGTTTCTCTATTGTCCCACCGACTACACTACACTACACTCCGCTTGACAATGAAGAACGACCTAAGGGGAAGTGTGATATGCAAATCATAGCATGTGTAGACGTTCAACATGTCCCGAACGTGTATCATGTCCCAAACATCGATGCGCTACTTTCGGAGTGAAATAGGTACATCCGGACCCAAAACGGCAGCTGAGCGTTTCAAACGTATGGTTGTAGTTTAGGATTTAGGGTTTTTTTTTTTTTCTAGCAAATACCACTAGTGTGGTTTATTTTATATAATGAAAAGCGGGAAAACAAATAGAGGAGGGGGGCATGGACCTGACCTCCAACAAATGTAAATTGTAACAAATATTTGAAGATGAAATGCAATCACACTAAACAAGACACGAACCAAAACTAATGAAAGGTACTCAGGGGTATTCCCGAGGGTAAATCTTCGGGTGGTAGTACATAGACATTGATCGAGTCATGCGTCTGGATTGAAACATTTCCGGATCATAGTAGTCTGCGATGTCTGGCTCACTCGTTGGAGAGGGGTCTCGCCTGCGTGTAGGAGCCTGCTTTGGTGATAGGAACTGTTCAGATGGTGGTGCACTGAATGTCGGGCGAAAAGCGGGTGCATCTGATCTCATTGTACTAGTCGTAGGTGCGTCTAATCTCATGGTGTTCTGTGCTACGACATCTGAATCATGGGAGATTGACCTGCTTGCTGTAGGGACATCGTCCTCTGCATTTTGCATGCAGTTTCCAAGTCCCATGCCATCCATGTCTCTCTGTATATGTTCTTTCACCTTATTGTGTGTAGGAGCTGTGATAGAAGGACTAGGTGAAGATGTATGCGTAGGAGTCTTACTCACAGAAGGTCCCTCTCCAAAGAGCTTAAAAACCAAGTCCTCAATAGCAAATCTCATGGTAGATCCAACTTTCATTCCATGGTCCTTCTTAAAGTGATCAATCAGCATATGCTTGACACTATGTCGCTCTGAGCTGATCTCAGCCAACAACCCCTGTGCAAGAGTGGTTTTAGGATTTAGGGTTTAGGGTATGGGGCTTAGGGTATAGGGTTTAAACCTATACTACAATTTTTTGACGTATAGTGTTTTTAAGATATTTCAACACTAATTCACTAGTTTTGGAATGAATTCGAGACTCCTTGACCCAAAATGACATATTGACGTTTTACTCTAATGGGTGCCATTTAAGGTATACGGTATACAAAAAATCACTTGTATTCATTCAGTACATGCGATCCTGTTACAAGTATGACTGCGATTTAGAGCACACAAATCATAGCACATTTTGGTACACTTTAGGAGAACACTTTAGTCCTATGACCCAAATAGCATGTTGTCGTTTTAAACGCAGAACTGCCGTTTTTCATATAATAGTCTATTTTTCAACACCATATAGATAAAGTTATGATAAACTGCATCTTCCTTTCAACCATGTCTGCTTCAATATTTGAATGAGACATCCTATAATGAAAATAATATAATTTATAAAAAATATTGATCAACATCCAAAGAAACTAGACAAATCTTATTGATCAGCATCCAAATCTGAGTACACAAAATCAACATCCATAAATTTCATAGGAAGATTGATGAACATCCAAAACTGACTAGACAAAAATCAGCATCCATGCACATGTTTTCCAACTACATCATTTCAAAACTACCATGTAGACAAAAATAGCATCAGAGTTCTCAATCTTTCAACCACATAAACGTGCAAAATATACTGAAAAAACAATTATGGATCGAAATGCATAGCAAAAACTTCAGCGGCTAGTTTCTTCCTCCAACTGTTAATCATAGTATCGGATATAAGTTTCACGTCTAATCCCGCCAATAAAAGCTCTATGAACTTGATAACGTACATCCCACAATCTCCTCTACGAATATATATTTGTCATAATAAATATATGCACTCTCAAAATAAGTGAAAATCTAAAAAATTTTAAAGATAGATTATTTATGCATTGTTTTGTTGTGGAACATCTGCATGTTGACGCCATAGAAACTGTTTGTGTGGGTAGTTTTCCCCGAATAACAAACTTTCCTTCATCATTCTAGGAATCACCTTCACAATTGGATGCATGATTTTTTGCAATTTTCCAAAACGAGTCAAACTCTTCATGCTGTCATATACATATATAGTTCGTTCGGCAAAGTCCACTTTGAATGCAATCCAGTGCTTCATTTCTACATTGCAGGGAATATACAACGATGTACAAGAATCCCATCGCTTGCTCCATTCTGGATTTTTACCATATATATATCTTGTCATATTTTTCATCGATTTAAAGTCTTCTACTGGATTTTTTTCTTTCTTATGCAGCTCAAAATCTTCAAACCTCTTGGTGCACATGTTAGTAAAAGCACAATCCAAAATTGCACAATCTTGTGGGAACACAATAGGATATGTATGCATTCGTGCCCTCATCAACAACAACGCTATGTCAATGTGCTGTAGATGTATAAAGCCATTTAAGAATGAAATGAAGTATGAGAAAAATATAGAATGCTAAAGTACTTACATCACTATCGAGCCATCTAAATTGCTTCTGAATTTCAAGCAAGAAACTTTTTGGCTTCGTGAACATCATTATGTCCACATGTTCACTGCATAAAACAAATAACATAAGAACATAAATTACAACTTCACAAAAATAATTAATGTAAGAATAGTTACCTGTCAGGTGCATTAACCAACCAATTCTGTAAGTCATCTGCCTTAGCCGGATCTAGCTCTCGAAATGGGTCAAATGCGTTTACATTGCGAAGCTTCCTCCTCTTCTCCGGATTTGTGAACGGAGATTCAAGAACAAGTGACCTTTTCTTGATTCTCATCCCGCACCCAATCTGACTAGACTTATCAGACTCATCTTCCACCACTATAGGGATGGACTCCATTACATCACCATGTGCTATAGAATCCATCGGTACACAGGTATCTCTCTCTTCCACACGAGTTTCATCATCATTCGGCAAATCTGTTGCTTGCCTTTGCTCATTTTCCACTTCAATGGGATTTGGACAGTTATTCATATCATCTGCTTGTTTTTGTTCATTGCCATATGTGGGCAACGTTGCTTCTTTTACAATAACTGGTTCATTCGCCAACACATAATCTTCCACTTCTCTCTCCTCATTGTCATCTTGGTTCTCATCATTTTGAACTTCTACATGAACAAGTGGATCCTCATTTACATCACATGCTTCTCCAGTATTCATAAATCCACTACGAAGAGGAGAGTGATATGTGTAAGGTGTTGTTGACGGGTTAGAATTCTTCATCCACTCCACAACAGATGATATCTTCTCATCAATTTGTCTACAAAAGGATGTAACACAATCAAACCTTTGGTCTATGTAAGATCGCATCTCATCTATCCGCCCTTCATTTTTCCTCTCTAAAATCTCTACCATCTGTAGTAATTGCATTCTCAATTCCTGAGCGAACTCATCTCTAGATGGATACAGAAATGGATATGATGTAGATGGTCCCGGATGAAATGTATGAACATCTGTAGACGTAGGTGGCCTATGAAAAGAAGATGGCTCCCGAGGAGATGTAGAGGCATTAGGAGAGTGGCAAGTTTGCTGAGGAAGATCAACACGAATGGACGAATCTGCTACATTCTCCTTATCCACAAAGATATCAACTGTCAGATCCTCTACTTCATCTTCGAATCGATGAATCTCTGTCCAATATGCTTTGGAAGCCTCTTCCGACGTAGGCTTCAGTGTGCAATGAACAACAATCTATATGAAAAATGAGAGGCGCACTTAGTTGTTATAAAGTACACTACATATTTTGATGTACATTTAAAATTTACTTACATTTGGTTCGTCCATACTTGCACCAATATCCTTGTAGTTAGGCATTTCAGAAGAATTCCATCGACATATTCTGGAAAGGTCAGCCTCCTGTAGATTCTCAACATATCTCCGTCCAATAGATGGTATGGCTTCATAGGCCCAAATCTGCATAAGATGCAAAATATTACAATCTAAGCAAAATGAATAATAAATTATAATTTTAAAAACATTACCTGCAAGGCGAGTGGAAATCCATAAATTGAATATGGATATTTCTCATTATTTATCAAGTATGACTTCACCAACGATTTCCAGTCTCTCGTGAATACATCAATTGTGCGGGCAAACGCCTTTCTCCCCCAAGGATAACTATTAAAAGCATCTAGGTCATCAACTATTGACAAGTGTTCTACATTTATGTATGTGTAGCTTTCTTTGGACAGTAGTACCGTTTCCAAAATATATACAAGCCCAATCTTGTACTTGTCTTCCATACGCACTTTGCGACTTTCAATAGTTTCCTTCAAATTGTGCACCGTTATGCCTTTCTTACACTTTTTAAAGTGTTTCTTCACCAATCTATCATTAGTCACAATATGGGGCTCCAACGAAGACTCCTCACTAGCTCTCAACCCCGTTATCAATGAGAACTCGTATAATGAAAATCGTGTTGGCTTACCTCCAATTGAAAACCAGATCTCATTTTGTTTTTTGGTTACAATCATTCTCAATACAAGTTGGTGGATTAGCTGTGCTGAAAAAGGTATGCGCTTCATTCGATATAGTTGTCCAAAACAAGATTCCATCAGCATTTCTTGATGAACATCATCTAACATTTCCCGAACATAGTCAAGTTTTTGAAGGGAAGACTTCTGCGAAGGCCTGCCTTTAATTCTATGTTCAGTGGGAATCACATAATCAAATGAGCATTCCATTTCTGTAATGAAAAACATAAAATAATCATGCTAAGTTACCAGAATTACATAAACGGCAGGGTGACATTTTCAGAATTGCATAAACGGCTGGGTGACATTTCCAAAAAAAAAAATAAAACAATCTAATTACTGCAGGTGACATTCTTTATGAAGATGGTTGAATCTGTAAGTAAATTACAGGAGAGAAAGATGAGCTCGCATATTGATGGTATTGAAACCTATACTTGAGGTCATTCCCAATGACAGAAGAATTGACGGATGATCTAAAGCCAAAGTTATCTTCATATTTGGTCTGCTCCATTTATATATTCTTAAAGTTTTTTAACACTCGAGGATACTTTAAAGAACATTCTTTGGACATGTGTTCTATATGGCATGTGCCGTGTCCTGCATTAAAAAGTATTAGAATAAAGATATAATTTATAAATTTTAAATTTTAAAGAATTAAATCCACATGTTGTGTCTTGCCTTTTAGAAAAATCAAGGGTTGCCATGTCTGTGTTGTGTCCGTGTTAAGGTAATTGCTCCATACTAACAGTTATATTACTAAATTACCACAGGAAATATAGCACCTAAGATGTGCTAAATTAAGGAAGCATGGAAAACTAGTGAACTTGTGCAGCATATAACAACTTAACTACTGAATTTAATCGTTGAAAGAGAAGAAAATAGGAGTTAATTAGCATAAAATAGGAATATAATTCCCGCGAAAAATATCAGAAGCATACATAAATAAAGATGTAATATATAAATTGTAATTTTTAACGAATTAAATCCACATGCTTGTGTCCTACTTTTTAGAAAAATCAAGTGTTGCCATGACTGTGTCGTGTCTTTATTAAGGTAATTGCTCCATGCTAATAGTTATATTACTAAATAACCACCGGAAATACAGCACTTAAGATGTGCCAAATTAAGGAAGAATGGAAAACTAGAGCAAGTAAGGAACTTGCGCAGCATTTAACGATTTAATTACTGAATTTAAATGTTGAAAGAGAAGAAAATGGGAGTTAATTAGCATAAATGGGAAAATAATTCATGCAAAAGACTATCACTCTAAATATTGTTAGGAATTTCATACCTACTGATGGCCCAGTAAGATATTGGTTCCAGTTGGTGAATAACTCTTATGCAGCGGCAACTCCACTCGCGACAATGGCGATAACAATTTGCTATAGCGTATGAACTCCTTGATCCGTGAAGGAAGAAGACAAGAAGAGATGGGGTTGAATATATTGATTTCGCATCGGGGATTCGAAGGGGAACATTCGGTTGTCGCTCCCCTGTTCGAGAGAGAAGAACTGGATGCCAAATCTAGGGTTTGTGTGATCCGTGAAGGAAGAAGACAAGAAGAGATGGGGTTGAATATATTGATTTCACGTCGGGGATTCGAAGGGGAACATTCGGTTGTCGCTCCTCTGTTCGAGAGAGAAGAACTGGATGCCAAATCTAGGGTTTGTGATTTTGGAATTTGAATGTGATAGGAAGAAGGAGACGAGATTTTAATTTGGGAAATGGGTCCTTTGAATTTTGTTGTTTTGTTTTGCTTGAAGGGTATTTTAGACAGTTTGTATTTTTAATATTAAAATATTTATTTTAATTTTAGTATTTTGGTCAAAGGCTATTTTTCCAAACAAACATTATAAATAGGCTATTCTACCCAATTTTCACATCTATTAAATTATACAAAAATAAATAAATATTTCCTACACCTCTGCCAGGAGAAAAAAACTAGAAAAGCTAAATGAATTGGCCGTCATATTCTTCTTGTAAATTATTGAATTAACATATTTAAGTCTGGGAATACTTTTATTGTGTTATTTTATATATCTTAACTTTGATTTATGGAAGAACATCTCCAGTTTATGCAATTCAGATAAATAGTACAATGCCGGGATTCCCAGTACATACATTACATTTTCTCAACATTGTCATTTATAATTGTTCAGGCTCCAAGCGAAGTAAATAAAAAAGAAACGAATTTATCAAGAAAACGAACAACCCCACGCCCGATTTAGTATTGTTGAAGCGACATCAATTTACCAACGCTGAATATATTCAGGAGATTCAACAAGAAAACGCTAAATGTCAGCTTCAAGAATTCAATTCAAAAATCCAGAAGAAAACAATAAAGTCAACCAAGAACCCAAAATCGGCACTTCAAGAAATGATCAATATCAACCAATTCAACTAAAGCACAATTAGTTTTCATTTTAATTACAACTCCACAAAATCCAAAAAAGCAAACATAAAAAGAAATAATCCTCTTCGAAAAATAGGCACCGATAAATAATGGATAAACAGAAAAAACCACAAACTTATAATGATGAAAATCAAGATAATAGATGTTTAACTTTTCAACAATAGAAAAAATACCTGTTTCTTGAGTTGCGCGGGCTCTAGAATAAGAATCAAGGATCTGTACTATTGTTGAAATAGAGAAATGGGAAATTATGGTCAACAAAGACAATGGTGTGCTTGAATTAATTAGAGGGAGAAAGTTTTTAGCATTGGTTGTGACGGATTTATTGACCATGCCAAATCTAGGGTTTGTGATTTTGGAATTTGAATGTGATAGGAAGAAGGAGACGAGATTTTAATTTGGGAAATGGGTCCTTTGAATTTTGTTGTTTTGTTTTGCTTTAAGGGTATTTTAGACGGTTTGTATTTTTAATATTAAAATATTTATTTTAATTTTAATATTTTGATCAAAGGCTATTTTTCCAAACAAACATTGTAAATAGGCTATTCTACCCAATTTCCTATTAATGAAACCGGCCGCAGCCTCCTTCACAATTCGAAAAGCTTCTGTATTTTATTCTGAGTCATGTCCTTATCTTGCTGCAATTGTAATCCTAATGTAGAAGGAAAAAAAGAAGATGGAGGTTTAGGTTCGTGTGTTTTCAATTGGTCAAATCTACCGGATGATTTAGAAGTTGAGATCTTGTCTCGAATCCCGGATAAACCTCTTATCAGGCTCAAGTGCGTTTGCAAATCTTTGTACTTTCTGATTTCAAATGCATGTGCTCCTAGATTCTCCTCCCCTTCTCCATCCGCCGTTTTTTACGGCTTACTCTACCTCCGGGGCGGTGAAAATTTTCTTAATCTACCTCCTAGTTCTGGAGTCGCTTCTATTAAGTTTTGGCGGAATTTGACGGCATTGCTTGAAAGATGTAAAGCTGAACACCCGGCAGAGCACATTCTAGACTGTTGCAACGGGCTTTTTCTTCTAGCGTTTAGATCTTCCAATCCGACTCAGTATTTCGTTAGCAACCCCACCACGTCTGAATGTATCAGAATTCCTGTTAACCCCTTACACGGTGATTTCAAGTACTCCTCGCTAGCTTTTGATCCTGCCGTTACGCTTCACTATAAAATTATTAGGTTTCCCAGAGTCACTCAATTATTAAATCTGGATGTTTATTCATCTGAGACTGGCGGTTGGGCTTGCCATACTATCGCTTTTGAGCCCGTTCTTGACCTTGGCCGATGGGTTCAAGGTTCTGTTTACTTGAATGGGGTTTTATACAGGTTATCAATGGCCAAGTACTTGGTGTGTATCAACCTCGGACTGAAAGAACATACAAAAATAAATGTGAAATTGAAAGCTCAGGCTTTTGAACTGCCTCAAAAGGATGAATTCGATCAATGTGGATCTATTGGGACATCCAAAGGGGCTTTGCTTTACTTCATCAAAGATAATTATAGGATACTAATCTGGACGTTTGATGACAGTTGTTGTTGGGTGCTCAAGCACAGCACCAACTTTCATGGTCCCATTTGGCACCGACCACTGGATAATATTTTTGATTTTTATCGTGACTTCAGGAAGTTCAACTTTTATGCTTTTCATCCAAGCGAGGATCAAATTTTTCTTCGCACTTTTTGTGCCATACTATGTTATAATCACAATACCAAGGATTTTTATTTCTTTGATCTATTGCCTCGTTATGATATTGCCATTTCCAAAGAGTACAATGTACTCCCTTGCTCGCGCTGTGGAGTTGTTCTGAATAGAGTCATCAAGAGCCATTAGAGATCAACAAATTCATGCTGTAAGTTGTCCTACCTGCCTTTCATTGACTTATTTATATTGCTTATTTTTCTGTAATAATAACTTTCTATTGGTGCTTGTTGGTCTCGGGAGATTGAGGTTGCTAGGTTAGCCAGAAGAAATAAATATTTCAGCTCTTGCCTTTACCATGTGTTTCGTTTTTGAGATTTAGGTACTGAAAGAGATCATTGTTTCCTTCCAAGAAACGATAACATGATATTGTGTTTAGACAATTGCAAATGATGAATGATGTGGACTGTTATCCCTAACCAAAAAATGGAATAAGCAAATAATTTGCTTATAGACGAATGTGAACATGAATGATGTGATCTATGTGAGAACTGACTGAATGCTTGATTCAAGTAAGAACCTCTTGATATCAAATTGGTTTATATTTTATTGCACTGTAAGTTGACCTCAAAGGTTGGAACAAGCTATTATTGGGAACTGAATTTGATTTGTTTGTCTCAGTATTATGATGGTTTTGTTAACAGAAAAAAACTGAAGTGATTTATCAATTATCAGTATGTGGTTTTAACTGCTTTTTGGGTTTTTTGGCTACTAATGAATGATATAAAATTCAAAGGGATGGGAGTGGACATAGAGTTTGGGAGTGACGAGATTGTACATTCGACTTTTGGATAAGTTGACTGAGAAAATATTCTTGTTTTGCTTGTCGATCCTTGAAAATAACTGGTTTTAGATAAAATTAATATGGGGATAAGTATAATGTCCCAGTTACGTGTGGTGAAGGTTAACTTTTGTGAATGACTTTCTTCCTCCATTTTATTTATTTATTTGTTCGGAAGATGTTGTATATTTGGCCATTTTCATTGTTTGCCGTGTCTGATTTCTCGTAGTCCCTATGTGCCTTTACACTGTCCATAGTGCTATTCTCTACGCTAGTTTGGACAATTGACAACAGTACTATGTTCCTTATGTTTTCTATTTACAGATTTTGATTGCTGACTACTGACCATAGACATTGTTCCCATACTTTTTTGAGTTAATAGTTGGTGGTATTAATACAAGTAATTTTTTCCTCTGCAGATTAACCTGTTGGGGACATAAACCATGGGGTTTTTGATGGTGAAATGCAACCTGACACATTCGTTCTTGCCTACCGTGAATCTGAGGGGTTTTATTCATCTGTTGCGAAACTTATTTTTAGCGTTGATTTCTTGTTGTTTTCTAGTGAGGACTTGGAATTGCCTGCTGTGCATACGGGTTTATGTGCACCTTATAAATTTATCCAAACGTTTCAACTATCATTTCGGTTACTCTTAACAGAACTCTATTATTACCTGCCTTCTTTTTTTAATCAACTATTGTGACTCACGATCCCTTTTCTTTTAGGTGAAATTGCAGTTCATGTCTTCAACCTTTCAATTATGCAGTTTTTGATGGATGGATAAATTGGATACACTCTTAATTTCAATAAAATCTACGATGAAATAGAAAACTTGGCTCAAGTTCGTATGCAAAAGGATGCATATGTGATTGTAAAGAGTAATACTAAATATTAGTGTTACTTATTTATTGTCCGATGAAGTTCGATATATTTAAATTTTCGTATTTTTGGATCATGAGCTTTTAGTTGACCGGTAAGAAGCAAATTTGAAAATGTCATAAGGCCTATTATCTCCTAGGAAAGACACAGCTGGGATTAGCATGAAATCATATTTAAACATCAATGCAGAAAATCAGGGGAAAATATGCTGAGATTATATCACATTAGAACTCTGTTCATTAGTAGGTAAAGAGCCATTCACATATATGACGATTCCAGCTCAACCTTGATAAAGAGGGAGTCCCTGATAGTAGAATAAGATGCTTGACCTTCACAGCAACATCAAGCCAGCGCAGCGCAGCTGCTACGTGATTATTTCTTGATTCTTGGTTTAGAAGTAGATTGATCAATGATACAAATTGCCCAATGTTAATACTGTTTATGTACACTTTCGTTCACAAGAATTCAATACCCTTGTGGGCTTTGTTTATAATGCATCATTTTTTTTCATTCTCAGATAGACATCCTTATGTGTTTCAAAATGGAGTGAATGGCATTAAGAAGCCGAAACCTCACCGTCCCAACTCCACCAAAGGGCTCGTTTTCATTTAGCCGATTTCCTGTATATGGGTGGATTTACGAAATTTTTCCCTTATTTTTATGTGAATATCTAAACAGATGGACCCAAAGTTTTTGTATGAATGCTCATGTTTATTTATTTATTTATTTTTACAAGATGGTTATTTGAAATGTGTAAATTTGTGAAAATCGATTGCAACGACGCTGAAAAATGGTGAAGTCGTATACAATTGTGAGTGAGGAGTACTAGAAGGCTATTGGGAAATGCAAGAAGCTGAGAGGTCCTTTTTATTTTTATTTTTTTGATAGGTAATCAGAGAATTTTATTCCTTAAAAGAGAGTACACGGGAGGTATACAATCACTTTAAGCATGAAAGGAACAACAAGAAATTAGGCAACTTTACAACAGGATTTTTAGCCACTGCATTAAACCAAGTATACAAAGTCAAGTAAAATAATTCTCTTATCTGCTCTGTTGTCTTTGTTTGGTCTTCGAAACATCGATCCTTCCGTTCTCTCCATATGCACCATACAATGCATCTCGGGAAAAGATTCCAGAGAAGTTTGCTATCCTTATCGCGAAGTTTTCTCCTCCATGCCCGCACCACGTCTTCTATACGCCTAGGTAGCACCCAATCCATTGATTGAGAAGCTAGAATACTGTTCCAAAGCCGACGTATACCATCACAATGAATGAATAAATGATCAATCATTTCTCCATCCTTCTTGCACATATAGCACCACTCGGTTACATAAAATCCTTTTCGTCGAAGATTATCCACAGTTGACACCTGCCCCCTCATAACTGTCCACAATAGAAATGCTACCCGTGGAGGCAATTTACTTTGCCACACCATTTTCCAAGGTAATGAACTCTCCACAAATCCCAAAAGGGATTGAAAGTATGAGCGGACTGAAAAAATATCATCTCGAGCCAACCTCCACTTGTTACAATCACCCTCTCTTACCCGAATTTGTATCCCATGCAGAGTGGTCAAAAACAACGAATAATCTTCCAATTCCCAATCCTGTAAACCCCTCCCAAAAGTAATATTCCAACCATAGTCCCCATTATGGATGTCAAGTACATCACCCACCATAGCAGCAGGCTCTAACGCAATGCGGTACAATGAGGGAAATTCCTCCTTTAACGGTTGATCGCCACACCAACTATCATCCCAAAATCTAATATCAGTGTCATTTCCCACCACAAAATTTAGTTTGTCCCTAAAATCACTCCATCCCCGTCGAATATACCTCCGCAAACTCACCCCATAGGAGCCAGGACCCTCAACTGTACACCAACCCCCCTCTATCACACCATACTTTGCCCCAATGATTTTTCTCCAAAAGCTCTCCCTCTCCCTCTCCACTCCAAATCACCACAACCACTTGCCCAATAAAGCCTTATTAAACAAAACAAGGCTCCTCACTCCAAGCCCCCCCATCCTCATAGGCAAACAAATAGTACCCCAATTAACCAAATGCATTTTCCTCTCCTCCCCTAACTCTGCCACAAGAATTCTCTTTGAAATCTCTCTAATCTATTTGCCACTGCAACCGGAATAGGAAACAATGACAAAAAGTAAGTGGGGAGATTTGAGAGAGTGGATTTAATAAGAGTAAGTCGGCCTCCCTTAGAAAGATACATACGCTTCCACCCTGCTAACCTCCTCTCCATTCTTTCAATAATACCATTCCAGATATGTGTACTTTTAAACCGTGCCCCTACTGGGAGGCCTAAATATAACATAGGCAATTGGGCAATCCTACATCCCAATATGCCAGCCAACTCCTCCATGTTAGTGACCCTCCCCAACTGGAATAACCTCAGATTTGCCCAAATTGATTTTTAATCCAGACACCGCTTCAAAACATAGGAGCAAACGACGCAGGTTCCTGAATTGTTCATCATTCGCATCACATAAGATTAACGTGTCATCTGCAAATAGTAAATGAGACACCTGCAATTGGCCAACCCTAAAGCCCCTTACCAAACCCTCTCCCACAACTCTTTCAAACATCCTACTAAGGCCTCCATCACAATAACAAAAAGCAATGGGGATAGTGGATCTCCTTGCCGCAATCCTCTACTACTCCGAAAATAACCCTCCAACGTTCCATTGACCATAATTAAGAACGATACAGTAGAAATACAGAACTAAATCCATTTACACCACTTATCCCCGAAGCCGTACCTCCTAAGCATATACAAAAGGAACACCCAGTTCACATGATCATATGCCTTCTGAATATCGAGCTTACATAGCATCCCGGGAATTCCCAAACGCAATCTTGAATCAATGCATTCATTCGCTATAAGCACGGAGTCCAAAATCTGGCGACCTTTTACGAAAGCATTCTGAAACTTGGACACTACTTTCCCGAGCACCTCCTTTAATTTGTTCGCCAGGACTTTCGCAATAATCTTATACAACCCACAGATTAGGCTAATAGGGCAAAAGTCCTTAATGTCGGTCGCTCTCGATTTCTTAGGGATCAGCACAACAAATGTAGCATTAGAACTTTTTTGGAACCTGCCATGTTCAAAAAAAATATGTAAACACATCCAAAATTTTCGATCGCACCACCTCCCAACAAGCTTTGTAAAATGAGAAAGAGAAACCGTCCGGTCCAAGGGCCTTATCCTCGTTCATGCTAAACACTACCTCTTTGATTTCATCCTCCTCAAAAGGTCGCTCTAACCACTCGGCATCATCCTCCGTGATAGTAGAAAAATCCAATCCTTCTAACTCTGGCCTCCACTCAAACTGCTCCTGATATAGATTCTGATAGAAATTCACCAATTGGCTTCCAATTTCGAGTGGTTCTTCATAAGTTATCCCATCCACTTCCAACACTGTGATAGAGTTTTTGGGCCTATTAGAATTAGCGATCCTGTGAAAAAACTTAGTACATTTATCTCCTTCTTTCAACCAATTGATCTTAGATTTCTGACGCCAAGCAATCTCCTCCATCTCCACCAACCTCTCTAATTCTTTCCTTAATGCTCTACGTTTCTCCTTCTCCTCTCCAGCCAACCTTCGACTCTCCTCCCGCCTATCCAACTCATCAATCTCTAAAAGATAATGAATTTTACAACAGTTCACATTGCCCACAACCTCCTCATTCCATTTCTTTAAATCTCTTTTCAAAGACTTCAACTTCTGATCCAACACAAAACTAGGAGACACCCTGGCATCGTAAGATGTCCACCAAGTCTGTACTTGCTCCCTAAAACCTTCAACTTTCAACCACATTTTCTCGAACCTAAAAGGCCTTCGTCCTCCACCCGTCCTGTTCCCAGTTAACATAATGGGGAAAGAATCAGAGTACACCTTCCCCAATCTTCTCTGAATGACATCTGAATACTTAGCCTCCCACTCTCCGCATATCAAGAATCTGTCAATACGAGAAAGAACAGGTTGATCCCGATTGGATGACCAGGTAAAATCTTCTCCAATCATAGGCAAATCCACCAACATATTCTCCCTTATAAAGTCTGAAAAATCCTCAATAGCCCCCGTGAGTCTCCCACCGTTTGACCTTTCAATAGGAAATCGAACCACATTAAAGTCACCTCCTATACATGCTGGTAGATTCCACCAAGCCATCATTCCAGCCAATTCATCCCACAAGCCCCGTCTACTGTCATCAGTATTAGGCCCATAAACACCTATGAACATCCACTGAAATCCATCCCCAATGTTTCTGAACGACATCGAAATTGAGAACAATCCTACACTCACCTCCTCCATCTCAAGCACTCTGGTGTCCCACATGACTAATATGCTGATACCCTGCATGCTGTCCCCCCCCCCACAAGCTACTAACCATCGCCCTCGAGATGACCTCCATCTTGATTTCTTGTAAGCATACAAGATCCGCTTCCCAGCCCCTTAGCAGATGTCGAACACCCATCCTTTTCCCAACTTCATTAAGTTCCCTTACATTTTAGCTAATGATTTGTGGTATCATTTCAACAGTCCAGCATCCCTCCCCAGTACTCCATTCTTGGACTCACCACCCTTGCCATCATAATTAACTGACCATTCGAGCCTCTTAAGTTCACGATCGCCCTTTTTTCTTAATTTACCTTCTTGTTTACTCATCTCCTGTCCCTTATTGGCCTCCAAATCCTCAAACAATTGTAGTAATCTGTTTTCATATCCATCACAAGACACGCCCATTAACTTACTGAAATCCTGAATTTTCTGTAGAACCCAGTTCGAAGGGGGTGTCCAGCTTC